TGACCTGAACCAAAACCAAGAGTCAGTTGGATGTTCAACCAACTGAGCCACTCAGGCATCCCCATTTTTATATTTATTATATTTGAAATTCTATTTTTATCCCAATATGACTGGTCTTTTTAATAGTCTCTTCTTATTTATATTTCCAATCTCCTATTTATTTAAGATTTATTTACTTTAGAGAGAGAGAGAGGGAGAGGCAGAGGAATAGGGAGAGGGAGAGAATCTCAATCAGACTCCCTGCTGGAGTGCAGAGCCCGCTCAATCTCATGATCCTGAGATCATGACCTGAGCCAAATCCAAGAGTCAGACGCTTAACCGACTGAGCCACCCAGGCGTCCCACCAATCTCCTACTTATTTAAAGCTAGTATACAACTTATTTCATATCCTGTGTCTGATAGAATCAATACTTGAAGATTTTGTAAAACAAATTTGGCTGTCCAATGCTTTTGCTCTTGGTGCTTTTGTTTTCTCTTGTTTGTTTTGTGATTTTTTAAAAAGGTGAACTCACATTCCTTGAAACTCTGACTGTGGAAAGTTTTATAGCCTGGGTTAAAGGGGTCTTTCCCCAGAGAGGGTTTGTATATATTTCTGTAGATGCCTAAGACCTTCCCACAACTTTAAGTTAAATTCTGCTTTTGAGATTTTCTGGACCATGAAGTATTTTGATTTTATGTTATAAATCCAAGGGAGGGATTCACAGAGGAGAATTTTTCCTCTCTTCTCATCATAAAATTGAAGTAGGCAATTTTTACCCTAACACTGGGGGTGAGGGTGGGAGTACTTCTAGCTCACCTAACACTGCGATAATTGGTCTTTGGAGTACCAGTTTTATGGGAGGTAAGGTGGGGAGCCAGGGGGTTATTATATTAGACTCTTCATGTTGGGAAACCCTGAGGCTTTGTATCCTGTCCTCTGTACTCTGTGAAATTAAGAAATCATCAGCCTGAAGTCACCAGGTTCTTCAAATATAACACTCAGGCTTTCTCTAGGTTCCTATTTTCACTCATGTTTTGGTCTCACTATTAATTTCCTTGGGTTGTTATAACAAAGCACCACAAGCAGGATCTCCTAAAACCACAGATTTATTCTCTCACAGTTCTGGAGGCTAGAAGTCTGAAATCAAGTGTTGACAGGGCCATGCTCTTTCCAAAGCCTTAGGGCAGGATCCTTCCTTGCCTCTTCCAGCTTCTGGTGGCCCCAGGCATTCCTTGGCCTTACTCCATTCTCTGCCTCCATCTTCACATGGTCATCCTCCCTCTGTGCCTGTGTCCAAATTTTCCTTCTAAAAACACCAGTCAGGGGCATCTGGGTGGCTCAGTCGTTAAGCGTCTGCCTTCGGCTCAGGTCATGATCCCAGGGTCCTGGGATCAAGCCCCGCATCGGGCTCCCTGCTCCGCGGAAAGCCTGCTTCTCCCTCTCCCACCCCCTCTGCTTGTGTTCCCTCTCTCGCTGTGTCTCTCTCTGTCAAATAAATAAATAAAATCTTTAAAAAATAAAAATAAATAAATAAATAAAAACACCAGTCATATTGGATTAGGGCCACTGTAACCCAGTATGACCTCAGCTTAACCTGATTACATGGGCAAAGACCCTATTTCCAAATGAGATCATATTCACAGGTACAGAGGGTTAGAACTTCAACATATTTTTGAGGGGAGTCAATTCAATGTATTTATTGTCTCTAACAATTTCTTAATTTCCTACCACCTCTTGAATGCTCTCTTGTATATTCTACCATTTTTATGGCCATCATCTATACAATCTTTCTGTCTCCTATTCAATGTCAGTTCTTATATCTCGCTCTTTTCATTCTGCTTGCCCATAGCAATTCCCTTCTTTTTCCCACTGAGTTGTGGAATTAGAAATCAGGAAAAAAAAGGCTTATTAGAAAGGAGCATAAAATAAGAATAAGGCTTTACATGGGGACTCAGTAGATATAATTGTGAATAGAGTAGAAGGAAATTATTGCATGGACACCGTAATACTTTTGGGGGGGATGCTCATAGGTCTTTTATCCCTAGATCGCTGTGGTATATCTATCTAGGCTTTCACATCACAAAGATCTGGGGTTGAATCTTTTCTCAACCTTTATAAGTTGTATACATATGTAAGCTCTTAATTCCACAATTCCCTCATCTGAATAAAAGAAGTATTCTAATAACAACTACTTTTTAGGGATGCAGATGGATGGCATAGTTAGCAGCCAGAGTGGGCACTGAATAATTGTGCAAATAATTCTTTCTCTGTTCCAAATGGGTAAGGACTTGGAATAAGTTGCCTCTGACTCAAAGAGGTGAAAAAGGAATGTCTGTCCTTTTTACAAACAATCCTGTGGAGTCATTGCAGGGGATCCTAGATAAGGAAGGTGAGGCACTGAGATGTGAACTCACAAAACACGAAAGGAAGATACTAATAACCACACAAAATGTGAAAATCTATTTTGGGGATGATGAGTGATTCTGGATCCCTTAAAGGGGAACCTGGAATTCAAGTGAACTAGCTCCTCCTTCTGCTTGCAGCTCTGCCCACCAACAGGCTGTTGGGTCCCGGCCTGAAAAACCACCTTTCCTTCAACTACCATGACATGTCATCTCTGTCAAGCAGGAGGGAGGAAATGGAGAAAAAGAAACGCCAGGGGTCCCTGGGTGGCTCAGTCGTTAAGTGTCTGCCTTCAGCTCAGGTCATGGTCCCAGGGTCCTGGGATCGAGTCCCACGTCAGGCTCCCAGCGCAGCGGGAAGCCTGCTTCTCCCTCTCCCACTCCCCCTGCTTGTGTCCCCTCTCTCTCTGTGTCTCTCTCTGTCGAATAAATGAATAAAATCTTTAAAAAAAAAAAAAAAGAAAGAAACACCAGGCAACGTTTTATACTGTATTTTACACCCTGAACACAAACCCCAAAGATTTTTACCACGTATCTGAAAGCCTCACCCAGGCCCCCACTCCAGAGCAGCTTTCTAATCTAGGCAAGGAGAAGCCGGAGATCTCCCACCACCCCATGCCTACCTCACGTCCATGTGAGAAGAAGAGCTCATGCGTCTAACTCCTCTTGGTCTTTACCCAGACAGCATGCATATGGGAGGGGGTTCTACCTGCTCCCCCAGTTCCTGGCAGTAGCTCCTGGTGAAAAATAGTATGTTTGGGGGCCACCATTTACCCAGGAGCGGTGCTGAAACAAGGTGGTGAAGAAATGAGTGATGGAGGGAGAGAGCTGGAGAGGCCAGGGAGACACTGTGGGCGCTCTCCTCTGTGAATCCATTAGCTCCCCACGAAGCCCACGCATTCTGACGGCCTTCAAAGCAATTTCTCTGAGTTTCAGTGAACACGGGCATCTAAAGGTATTTTCTAAACTCAGCTTCAGCCAAGCTGCTCCTGCTGCCAGTCTTCAGAGCCCTAGGATTAAGTCTGGGCAATAAGTGCAGCCCCCACAGTGCTGGTCAGGCCACTGCAGATATTGGGAGATGCTCTGTGGAGGTGCCCCGCCTCCCTTTGGGGCAGGGCGAGGTCCGTCCAGGGTCAGCTGACTGCCCAGTGGGGTGGCAGGTCTAAGGAAGTTAGAGGTAAGAGAAGGGTGGATCCAAGCTGGAGTCCTTGAGCGGGAACTGGAGATACAGACACTGAAGCCAAAGGGGCAAGAGTGGGGTCATTGGTTGGAACCAGCCAGATGTTGGGGTGGTCTGCATGAGGGCTGACAGTGAGGAGGGATATCTTGGATGACCACCAGAACACCAGCAGGTTCAAGGTCCTCTCCAAGGGCTGTCACACAAGGATCTGCCAGGCTGCTTAAAATTAAGATCCCCATGGACAGGACAATGGAGACCACTGTGGAGACAAGCCACAGTTTGAATGTTGGGATTTCTGTGAGGATAGGACCACAACCTGGGCAGAGGGGTGGGCTTCCCTCTAGGATGAGGTGCTTGGTTGTATCTGTTATCACATTCCTGCCGACCACCAGGGGACCTCATGCATCCCTCAGACGTGATGGGGGTGGGGTGTCATTTTGGAGTTATCTTTTCATGGGCCCAGGAGAAAAAGTCAGAGCCTAGAAAATGTTCCTGGGGCATGAGAAATTAAATGATGCCTATTGTGGATTTGCACCATGTGTTGATAGTTGCAAAAAGCCCTCTAATTTGGGGCAGGATAGTGGCTACCTCTGAAGAATGGCATGAGGTATGAACAGGTCTGAGTATCTGACCAGCACATGGTGGGGTCAGAAAACAGAATGGAGTGAGCCTGGCTGTGTTTTGCTCTTTATACCCCATGAGTTTATTTCCCTATAGCCCTCTTTTTCTTCTCTTCTCTTTTCTTTTTTAAGATTTTATTTATTTATTTGGGAGAGAGAGAGTGAGAGAACATGAGCGGGGGGGAGGGACAGCGGGAGAGGGAGGGGGAGAAGCAGGCTCCCCACTGAGCAGGGAGCCCGATGCAGGGTTCAATCCCAGGACCCTGGGATCATGACCTGAGCCAAAGGCAGATGCTTAACTGACTGAGCCACCCAGGTGCCCCCCTGCAGCCCTCTCTTCACAAAGTCTTTAGGAAAGCTCTCTGGGCTGCTGTGGAGGAGGCAGAGAATATCAGAGTGAGAAATCCCAAGGGGAGGTGACTCTGAGAGGAAGTGACTCTGAGGGTCACTCTGGTCCAGCCACCCCTCGATGCCTGTAGGTCTCTTCCTGGAGCACATCTTTGCTCAGCCCTGAGGAGCCTACGTTTGGTTTTAACAAAGACGTCGTTCCTGTAGTAGGGAGCTCGACTCTCCCATGTCCCCAGCCCTAGCCAAAGCAGTTTCTGAAGTCCTATTCTTCCCGAAATTTCTATAGGTGTCTTCCTCTGTCTCTATCCTGTCCCCAAGCAGCTCTGATCATACACATGGAGCAAGGTTAGGGATTAGACATTCAGAATCCATCTGTGACCCTCACCCTTGAGCTCCATTTCTCCACCCCCTTGACTCATTTACCTTTTGGGGAGCAGAGCCAAGCCCTCTGGGCGGGAACCCTTGCTTACCCTGATCCCCAGCTCGACATTCTCGCCTCCGTAGACCTCCATGCCTTCGTCCAGTAGGCCGATCTCCTGGAAGTACTGCCGGTCCACAATAAAGCAGCCAATGAGGGCAGGGCTCCTGCAGGGGTGTGGGGAGATGGGCCAGCAGTTAGCAGAGGGGCTGCTTCCTGGGGAAGGCCAGAGGAGTCCGAGCGTGGTGCCTTCCTACAGGAGGATCTCTTCCTCTTCCTTCCTTTGCCCCCAGAGCCGGTGTGGGCCTCGTTCTCTGAGTGGCCCTCCCAGGCCCACCTTCACCAGCTGCTCTAGGGAGGCAGTTTCTTCAGGGTGGCAGCAGGGATGCTCTGGTCCCGGGGCCGGTCCTCATTGCGGGTGGTGCTGAAGTGGGTGACAGCCCAGGGGAGTGGTGCTCAGCCCGCCAGCCGGGCCCGAGTGTCTGCATCTCTAGCTGCCCTGACATCTGAGCTCCAAACCACACAGCCAGTCTCTGTTTCTACCTGGGCACCCGAGCTAACTCCCCACCCTTCCCCAGCTTGAGTTCTGCACATCAACCTGGCTCACTTAGAAAGATCAGTTGGGGCTTTGGAGAGCATGGTAAATGACTTGGATTTTATCTGGAGGTAAAGGAGTGTCAGTGGGGAATTTTAAGCAGACTTTGGTATGAGCAGAAATAAGTGAGTCAGAGAAAGACAGATACCCTATGATTTCACACTACATGGAATTTAAGAAACAAAATAAATGAACAAAGAAAAAAAAAGAGACAGACAAAAAAACCAGACTCTTAAATATAGAGAACAAACAGATCTGTGCTTTTAAAAGAACCCTTAGGCAGCTGTGGGGTGACTGCCTGGAAGAGGCTGGGTGGAAAGAGGAATCCAGTGGGGAAGCTTGGTGCTAGGTCTAGGGAGAAATTATGACGTCCTTGACCAGAGGATCAGGAATGGGGAGAGGGATTGCTTAAAGACACATCTTAATGTAAATCCATAGAACTTAGAGACAGATGAACAGGTGAGAGAGAGGAAGGCATCCAGATGCCAGCTGGCTTTGTGGCTTGGGTAATGGTGGGGTGGGGACCACCCATCAATGTGGGCTGTAGAGAAAAAGCTGGTTTCAGAAGGAAGAAGCATTCCCTCCTGGGAAAACCGATCTGAAGGTGCCTGTGGGACACTAGGAGGAGATAGCCAGTGGGTAGGGCTTAGCGGATGGCCTGGGTCTCAGGCCGGAGCAACACATCCACAGCCAGTCAGTGCAGGAGCTGGAGGGCCTTTCCTGAGTGAGAGCGTGAGTGTGGGGCTCACCGGCTGTGGGCAGGTGCCCAGTGAAGCACAGAACTTCACTAGGAGTGATTTGGATTGGGAGAATCAGCGTGAGTGCACTTCTCTGCTGAGAGCATTAACTTACACAAATGACTTTGAATTATTCCACTGCACACAGCTACCATTTCTAGCCCTTGTATAGCATCTTATCAGCTGGTGGCTGAAGGAGTCGGAGGGGAACAGAAAGAAAAAGAGAAATGATGAAACCTCAGCTATGAGAAAACTGTCAGTCACATGCAAATGGACCCATCTTTGAAATTGGAAACTCATCAAGGTGGAGAAACAGCTCTTTTGCAGGCCATTGCTTTGGACAATGCTGGTACAGGAGGCTGCTCAGGCAGAGACTGGGGCCTTGGGGTCCCTGCCCCTCCTTCTTTCAAATCACAGCATTTTATTCTGGATAGGCTCACATTTCATAGACCACGGGCAGCCAGGGCAACCAATCTACTTCAATCCACTACTCCGAAAGTAGGCTGAGTTCCTGCTCTAGTGGAGGATGCTTGATCCTGTCCTTGGAGTTGCATGCTATGAGTAAAGTCCCTGCTTGGCTGTGTGTCACTGAGAAAAGTTCCCTAGCTTCTCGGAGCCTCTGATTCCATATCTATGAAACAGAATCAACTATAACCTCACAGAGATTAAATTAAATAATCTAAAACCTTGAAAACCTCTGGGGCATGATGGTTACTTGAAAAATCATTTAAAAAGATGCACTTGCACATTGAAGAAACCCAGAGAATCCCCTCTTTAGATGCATGGTGATTTAAAAACATCAGCCCGGCAGAGTGGGCAGAGTGAAGTCTCAACCTTCTCCTTGACATTCTTGAAATGTTGAATATTTCAACACGGTGTTCCAAGACATGCAGGAAGGGGTCTTCCCCCATTTGGCCAAACCCACTCAGGGAAACATCAGAATCTAAAACAGTTACTGTGCAATGAGCACAGGCCAGTTCAGACAGTCTACTACTTATTAATCAGCTAGGGTATGAAGTGGACCCTGTCAGCCTGAACGTGTTATTGGCTTATACCTTACCTCGTTCCCAAAAAGATTGGAGATAGCTTACAAAAAATGTACAATACATTGAAAAACAAAATACATAAATGTCTGAAAAGACCAAAAGTTCACAACAAATTGGGGGCCAGTTAGAACACAGCATTAGGTCCTCCTTCACAGTTCTTAAAGGAGACCCACAAAATTGATGCTAAGCTTCCCGGTAGCCAAGGTGAAAATGAACATACATGTCTTAGAAATAAGATTTATAGTTTCCATGTGAAAATTTCATACTCATTCCTTGGGGCTAACAAGGTTTTCTTTGACTAGCCGTCAGTTTGAAAGAAATTTCTTATGTCAGTCTTCTTAGAGGTCACTTTGGGACATAGTGAACAACACTCTTGAAGACGTCACTTTAGAAAGCAATAGAAGGTATCTCTGGACTCTTTTTATAGCTTACATCATGTGGCACAGCACTGACATACAGCTCCAAGGAAACAGGAGCCAAAGTGGGCAAGGTATGTTTTTATAACCCACAGCTTTCTGTGGGGTTATCTTCATCTAGGAATAAAATCAATAATGTTCTTCCCAAAAAACTTCCATGAATATAATTTCTCTTGGGCAAGTTTTTGACAAGAATTAGGTGATGAAAACTTTGTGCTGAGACGATACTCTCTGTCAAGGGCCTAGAATGCAGGTTTACTATGACTAGGCCAACACATTTCAAGATGAGCAGAACAAAGCAGCGAATATCAGTGCAGTCTTCTGCAAGAATGTTCCCTGCATGACAGCATACCCCCTTCCAGGATCACTCAGCATCCTGAACGGCAGAATTCAGCCATGCCAGTTCTGAGCTCAACAGTGGGTGTCTATGGGATGACAACTAGATGTGGAATCTAGCTGACCTGGGTTTAGATCCTGGCTCCACTGCCCACAGCCTTTGGCAGGGCCATTCTCCTTCCTCCGTCTTGCGGGTTTTCCTCATCTTGTAAAACAGGGATGACACAATGAGCTGTCACAAGGTTATAATGAGGAGCAAATGAGACCATGCGTGTAAAAGGCCCTTTCACACAGCAATACCCGAACAAATATTTAACAACACAAAATCGTGGCAGGGGCTAACAGGTGGGTAACAGAGATAACTGCAGGAAAGCTAGATGGTTCTCTTCCAGCCTGTTTTAAATGTGAATACAGTTTTTTCTTCTGGCAAGGAAAGATGTGATCTCAGATAATAATCGCCCACTTTCAATTAGATTTTTCATAATCTTTCTCCCTCAGGTAATACAAAGCAACATCAGTTTCTAATCTCCTTTTTCATTCCAAGAATTGTCCCCTCGGCCACCTCTGGTGCCATCTGTGTGTTTAATGGGCAGGACTTTGCAGAGAGCATAAAGGCACCCGATCTGTGATGAACCAGACAGAAATAAGGGCTGGTGGAGTGGCTGTTTCAGAAGTCCCGACCCAGAGAACAGAGGCTGCACAAGTGAGTCATCTGGGGTCTGGGAAGGCAGCAGTGAAGGCAGAAAGAGCTTGGGATCCTTGAAATGCAGTTTGAAGCCACTTTTAACTGAATCCTACAGGATAAACTCAAATAGCAGCAAGGCATAGAAGCTGCTGTGGGGTCTGATTTTGCCTCTCTGCCCCTTCAGCCTCATTGCATGGGGCTGTGTCCTCATACTCCTCCTCACAAAGGTCCCTTTATTCTTCCTCTGTGTCCATGAACTCACTCTGTCTCTTCAGCTATGAGTGTCCCTGCCCAACCTTGCCATCTACTATATGCACTTAAAAACAAGTGCAAAGTCTCCAAAAAAGATTCTCCCCACTTTCTGTGCCGTTTCCTCCAGCGATCATTTATTATTCTAATTATTTTGTCTGTCCTCACTAGACTGCAGGCTTTTGGGGGCAGGAACTGAGTCTTAGTCACTCTGGATCCCCAGCACCCAGCACAGCCGTTGGCTCTCAGCAGGTGTCCCATAGTGATGTGTTGAAATGAATAAGTTTGAGCCTCTGAATGGATTCTGGGGGCCATGGTTCTATTGAAAGGGATCATCAGGGCCTGTAAGTGGTGACTGAAGGTCATTTGTAATTCCTTTCCAACCCCCACCCCATCATCCCACAATGGGGCTGGAGTTTGGGGAATAAGGGTTGAGCTGGGAGGGGAGCCCTTGCATGGAAGATAAGGCGGAGAGACCTACAGGTAAGGATGCTTTACCTGATTGGGGCGGTGGAGTTCTCCAGCTTCCACCAGGCCTTGGGGGGGTTTAGGTAGCGGCACCACAGCTCCCAGTCAAAGCCCTGGGCGGCCAGTGGGTACTCTTCTATCTCAAAGTTGTCATATTTGATGTTGTCAAAGGATGGTGAGATGATCCGTTTCCGGTTCTCCTTTATGCGGGTGAGCACAGGTTCAGCCCTGAGCAAGAAGGAGGGAGAAAAGGGTGACTGCTTCCAGGGTGGATAAATACTAGACTGGAGACTCCTAAAGCTCCTTCTCCTGCAGAAAGAGGCAAAAAAACTACCTGGCTATTTGCTCCAGCGGGTTGCTCTGCCTCCTGGGAAGGATACCTGTTTAACCTCCACCCCACCCCCCCACCCCATACTTCTGGCTTGGCAAGAGGCCTGGCCACTCCTGCAGCATGTCCTGGGCTGACTGAGAGATTCTTACTGCCTTAGATCCTTGTGTCTGTTTGCTTTCCTTTTTTCCACTAAAAAAAAAAAAAAAAAATCAAGACCTAAGAAAGAAGAAAGAAAGAGATCTGAGGTTCTATAGGAAGCTTTCAACCTGGGCTTTGATTTTGCTAAAATTCAGTGTATCAACCAGGAGGAAAAGGCAGATGAGGATGGCAGAGGCATGGAAGTGAGAACAAACTTATTTCCACCAATTACTCAATGCCGCTTCAGTCCTCCAGACAAGCCACTCCATCCCACGTGTTCTCCACTGCCCGAGGAGTGGTGGGGAGTAGCGCTTTCCAAGCAGCCAGGAGGCCCCTATGGGCACCAGGCAAGTAAAGTGTTTGCAGACAGGAATGATGAGCTTCTTATTAATAATGCATTTGTTTCATAATTGTTTATTCAAATCAGCTTGAAATAGTAAGTGTCCCTCTCCTCTTCTGGCCATAAATCCAATGAAAATGCTTTTTAAATAGTCACAAATGGCAAGCAGGGACTTCAACTATAAAAAACGGCTTCTTTGCAGCCTTAATTTGAGCCTGTTATGTAAAAGCATGCCCAAATCGAGCCATGTGGTGTGCATGCCTGGCTGCTCCCTCCTACTTAAGGGCCCTCCTCACCCTGGCTCTTTGCAAAGTCACACACAGTGGGCCGGCCACAGTGCACCAGCCGGCCCTGCAGGGATATGGGTATCAGGTGCCCCATTCCTGCTTGGCTGCAGCCACTGAGGCCATATACCTTTTCTCTTGCCCCACGCAGCAGCTGAGCAGCCCTGGCCAGGGAAAGGAAGGTTTTGTAAGACCCAGTTTCACCAGTAGGGACAATCTGAGATCTATGTTATGTCTGGCCTGGCATTTTGGGGGGGTCCCACCTGTGATAACATCAAGCTACTTTCTCCCCCTCTGACCCCTGGGCCTTGATCCTGTCTGTGCAGTTGGGCTCCTGCCTCAAGTCTGGTCCAGCTGTCCCTTGCTGGGCAGTTGCAGCCCTGTGCTTAGCTGGGCTGGTCCTCTCAGCTTTGCCCTTGGCATTTACCTTCTCCCAGATCCCGTCTCCTAGAGGCAGACACTAGCCAGAGTCACACCCTATGTCACCATAACCTTTAGACACTGTGCTTTGACTTGTTGACCCCCGACTCTCCCCCGCCTCGAAGGGCCAGCCCTGTTGCCTACATCAGTCACACATCCAGATCTCAGCTGTTCCCAGAATTCTCTCCTTTCCCCACTATGACTGAGGTCCCAGCATGCTTTGCACTCCTTTGAGCTACAGCCCTGGACCACACTGGGACTCATCTTCCTCTCCTGATGGGCACTTACCAGCCCACATTGAACTCCACATGGGCATCGAAGAGGGCCACTACGGGGGCGGTGGCCACCCTCCAGCCGCTGACTCGGGAGCGGATGAGGCCTTCCTGCTTGCTGTGGCGCACGACTTTGATGAAGCCCGGCTTCTGGCCATTCACCTTGTCCACATACTCTGTCAGCTTCTCCTTCAGCTCCTCTGGGAGGGAGGAAATGCATCGTTAGCATAATGGGGGAAGGTGTGATTAAGATATTCACCCTCTTAGGGTGAACTGACTCCCCCAGAGAGAGGCTGGAGGGTCCATTTCCCTCTCCAGGTCTCCTTAATCTTCCCCAGGACGGCCAGCACCACTCAGTTTTGAAGGGAAACAGTTTGTATTGAGCTCAGCAACTCACACAGGGCCACGTGCTTCACACATCCTGTCTATTTAATCCCCACCACCAGCCCATGGGAAAATGGGCCTCAGAAGGGTTTCTCAATTTGTCCAATGCCATGCAGCGTGTGAGTGGCACAGGCTGGTTTCAAGCCGGTCTAATGACTTCAAAAGCCATATTCTTTTCATCAGCTCAGTGGCCTCTTTCTTCCCCAATGCCCTCTGTTGGAGCTCCTCTAATGCCCAAAGAAAGCTTCCATCTGTGAAGATTACAGCCCGGGACCCAGTCCTGCCTGGATCTCCATCTTTCCAGGAAGCGGATGACCAGGCATTACGCCACGTGAGCAGTTGGTATTGGTTTGCTGCCTGCTGTCACCTGGCTAAGCATCTGATTCCCCTGCTTCTTCATAAATGTGGATGGCTCCTGTGGGCTCGCCTCTCAGCTGGTGATAGCAGAGCCGCAACATTCACTGGGTTTTTCAGAGCAGTTCAGGCAACTTTCCCCAAGATGACCGGAGTGGGCTGCATTCTCCTACGTGCAACCACTGTACCTCCCCAGGACTCAGTTTCCACCCTTTGCCTGTGTTCTCCAGGACTGCCCCTTCATGTGCCCTCCTCCACCTTCTCAGCCTGCCCAAGCCCGGGCCCTGGAACAGACCCACTTGGGCTGAGCCTCGTCCCTATCAGAGGACGGCAGGAGCTCCGTGTCCCTTGGTGCACAGTCCGGAACCCTGCCAGAAAAGGGTATGAGGTAGCAGGCACAGTGCCTGGCAACAGTGGGCGTGCCCCATGGCAGCAGCCCTGGGTACTAGAAAGAGGATGGTGTTTGGAGTCAGCAAAACAGCCTTTTAAGGCTGCTTTCCATGTATTAGTGCTATGATCCTGGGCCTGTTACTAAACTAGTTGTTGATATCTAGGTGGATGTCTGGATGTGGTGAATGTATTTCGCATGTGGTAAGGACATGAATTTTGGGGAGCCACAGGGTGGATTGTTAGGGGTTGAATTGTGTCCCTGCAAAAAGATAATGCTGAAGTCTAACCCTAGTACCTTAGAAGATGACCTTATTTGGAAATAGGGTCTTTGTAGATTTAACTGAGTTAAGATCCTTACGTCCTAATCCAATATGACAAGTATTCGTAAAAAAGGAGGAACTTCGGACACAGACACAGATGCAAAGAAGGAAGACAAGTAGGGAAACAGAAAGAGAAGATGACCACCTATAAGCCAAGGAAGATCTGAAGGTACCAGAAGTTAGGAGGCCTGGAACAGATCCCTCTCTATCACCTTCAGATGGGGGCATGGCCCTGCTTGATTTGGACTTGATTTTGGACTCCAGAATGGTCAGACAATAAATTTCTATTGTTCTAAGCCACCCAATTTGTGGTACTTCATCATGGCAGCTCTAGGAAACTAATATAGTTGTTATGAGAATTAAATGGGATTAACATTTGTGAAAAATGCATAGCACGTTGTAGATGCTCAAAAAAAGCTTTCCCCCCTTCGTCAGTTTCCATCACACTGGGAGTTTTAAGAGAAGAAGGAGCTGCAAAGCCTTCTTCCTGTGCTCTGGTTCAGGACCACCTCCTCCTGCTCTGCCCTGTCTCTAGGTTAGAAGTCTGCAAGCAGCAAGGCCATGGCGGCCAAGCAGGAGATACGAGCATGTGCAGGGACCTCGTGCCCAGGGAAGACCGTCAGGCATGGTGGCCACTGCCAGAACTGGTATGTCCTCCCATAGACATTGATTTCAAATCTTCTTCCACACGATGCTGGTCAAAGAAATCGGTCTGGATGGATGGGAAGGATATGGTCCCTAGGCATCCCTGCTTGAGTTCTCATCACCTTCGTGAGGCAACTGGGCATCCAGGGCAGAAATGCTGAAAGGGAGGCAGGAAACTTGGGTCCTAGGCAGCTACCAACTTGCTCTGTGATCTTGGGCAAATCCCTACAAATGCCAAGTCCTCAGAGTTAGTTGGACAGGATTTTAACTTTTGTTTTGCACTGATTACCCATCTAAGGTTTGAATCCCCTCTGGCTAGCTTGATGAGGGATCATCCAGCCCCTGCAGTGACCAGAAACACTACAGCCCATTCCTTAGTGGGCCACTCCAACGATTAGATGTTCCAAATGCCAGCATCCTTCCACCTCCACTCACTTATCCAAGATTTATTTTGGGGCCAAAGGGGGCAGATCAAATTCCTCTTCCACATGACAACCATTTAGAGTGAAAGACCATCCTTAAGTCCTTGCTGGGATTTCTCTAGGTCAAATGTGTTTAGTTCCTCTGTATATTTCCTCACATCTGTGAGTTCAGGTTCTTTTATCATGCTGAACTTCCCTCAAAGTATGTGCTTTTCTTTAACACTTTTAAATTATGCACCTAGAAATTGGCCTAATACTTATGGAGTAAATTGGGCTATACAGAATAGAATGAACGAATCACTTCCCTTATTCTAGAATCTATGCACCCATTCATATAGATGAAGGTCACATTAATTTGGCCTGCTTTTGACTCAAATTGAGCTTCCTGGAAAGACAGCTACAGGTCCTTTTCATGCGGTGCTGCTAAGCCAGGCTCCTTCATCCTTTTTCTTCATGGCTGCATGCATGTGTTGGTGCATGCTTGTGTGTGTGTGTGCATAAGCATGCTCTGAGCCAAAACATAGGCTCTTATGTTTAGTCCTCTTTCATTCAATCTTTTTAAAGATTTAACCATCTCTCTGAAGTCAGAATGTCTTGTCCCTGATTCTGTTGTCCAATGGCTTTGTGATCTAGCCCTCCAGCTTTCTGGCTTCTGCAAAAGTGATCAGCATATGGCCTCGATTATCATTTGAGTCATCCTTGTACACAGTGTGACCCTTTTCCCAGAGTTAGGGCCAATGAGGCCAGTCAGGCTTTCTCGTTCCAGCCTGATGAAAATTCAGGTGACTTTTAGGCTGCCGTTAACACACCATGTATCTCACTTTAGCAGCTGTGAACATGACCTCATGATCTCTGAACACACAGCCGACTGGGGAGGCCTGGAGGTACCGCTGTCTGCAGGTGTCACGAGGTCGGCCATAGAGTGGCCTAACTCAATGTGCCCCATGCTTACAACATCGTCAAGCATGGCTGCCAGGAGGCCTCTTAAAACATTTCCTGTTCCATCTCTTCAAAGGTCCACCTCTCATCTGTCCTTTTAGAAAATTTTAAATAGAACTCAAAAAGCCTAGTATTTCAACTTTTGATGGTGGCATGAGTCTGGGAACTTGGAATAAGAAGTGGGCTAATACCAAAGGATACCTTTCCTCACCTGCAAGGGGGACATACTTGTCCTCTTCTCTCCCTTTCCACCCCTTGGGTGAGAACCACTGCCTACAGGACCACTGTTGTTGAGTTTATTGGTGGCACGGGGCTGTGGATGACTGCCACCCAATGATCCTCCAAGAATCCTGCCTCCCTGAATTCGCATCCTTGTGTAGTTGCTCCACACACTGAATCCGGACTGACCATAGGGCAACAGGATGCAGCAGGAAGGACCCAAGCCGGTGGCAGGCCTAGGCCTTAGGAGGCCTTGTAGCTTCTGCTTTCATTGTCTTGCTGCCCTAAGTAAGGAAGACCAGCCTCCTTGAGCTTGAGAGGCCCAGGGAGTCTCCATTAATTTAGGCCACCCCACTGAGGCCCAGACATGTGAGTGAGGCCATCTTGGATCCTTCAGCTGACTGTAAACGCAGAGGGAGCCCAGCTGACACCCTTTAGTACAGACATGAGCTGCCTTATTGCAGAATTGTGAGCCAATAAATGGTTGCTGTTTTAAGCCACTAACTTCTGGGCTGGTTTGTTATACACAAAGGCTAACAAAAGAGGCTCTATTATTCTGGTATGGTGCTGAGGTTATAGTAAGATTGTGAACTCCTGATGCACAGGAAATGTGAAGGGCCAGACAGACACAGAAGAACCACTGAGAAGGTGGCAGCAAGAGAAGAAAAGTCTTTGCTTCTCATAGGAGCTGCTTGCACCTTTGTACCTCTGAGCTCTGTTAAAAGAACTAGAATAAAGGTTTCTGGTGGACCAGCTAGAGAAAAATTCTGTTCTCAGCCTGCTGCATCCTGGACATTGGCTACTGATTAGAAGACAGCATTCCCTTAGCTCTGATCAAAAAGCTGCTATCAAAATTCGAAGAAGTTCTGAAATACTGCAGATAATATTGGCTCATAGTCTTTGCAAAGTACCTTTACCTAATTAGGTTTTCATGTTTTCCTTCAATTTTTATCAGTTGCCAAAGCATGGAAGAACTATCTCGGAGGCATTCTGCGTTTGCTAGGAAACTGTGGTCCAAGATACTGCCTATTACATATTATCTATAATGTATATATGATAAATACCTCTCAGAACTCAGCTCAAAAAAACATATGAAGAACTTGTGGTTTTCTTTATACATAAACACAAATCCATAACCCCTCATATTGACCTTTTTGCCAAGGCTGCCAGGAAGCTCAGAGAAAAATCTAATGACTCATCACAGGGTTTAGCATTTTTGCCTCTCTACCTTTGCTAAAGATTTGATGTTCAACTTCTTGTCTCCAAGCTGCATTCTTTTACTTTTTTCCCCCTCTGTAAGCTACCTTTAACTACTTCTTGAAATATCTATAAATAACTTTTTAAAAAAAGATTTTATTTATTTGTCAGAGAGAGCGAGAGAGGGAACACAAGCAGGGCGAGTGGCAGGCAGAGGGAGAAGCAGGCTCCCTGCCGAGCAGGGAGCCCGATGTGGGACTTGGTCCCAGGACCCCGGGATCATGACCTGAGCTGAAGGCAGATGCTTAACCGACTGAGCCACCCAGGCGT